CATTCGCAGAAGCATGACTGAGGAAGAAAGGAAGCGAGACTACGACCTGCGTCAGGAAGCGCGTGAACGCAATAAGGGTAAAAGCGTTCGTGAGTGGGTAGTTTACCAAGGTCAACTCAGAAGAACGTCGGAACTTCCTCCGGAGTTCGGGAAACCGTTTATGACGCACGGTAAATCCACCCTCACCTGCTACCTATTGAATGCCCGCAGTTTATCCAACAAATTAGAGCATCTGCATGCCTTCATCTGTCAACATGAGCCCGATCTCCTATTCATCACGGAGACATGGCTTACGACAAATGTTCTGGATTCCGAAATAGTGACAAACTTCCCGTATTTTCTTTATCGTTTGGACCTAAGGGGGTGGAGTTTGCTGTCTCGTGAGAGGCAATCTCCATGTTCATTCGGTTGACCGTGCATCGCCTAACAAAGCAGATGTCCTCTGCGTCGACCTTCTTTGTCCCCACAATGCCTCACGAATTCGCTTCATTCTCGTGTATCGTCCACCCAATATGAGCAAAAATGAGGATGAGGAACTTATCGATGTCCTTCGTGACACTGTCGCAACTCATACTAACACCATAATGCTAGGTGACTTCAATCTTCTGGTTGACTGGAAAGCCCTGAATGCACATAATGCAGAGTCATCCTTGTTTCCTGAAGTTCTTCCGAGGCAGTGGCCTCGAACAGCATGTTTCTCTACCAACCCATGGCAGGAACATTCTTGATTTAGTGTTGTCGACATTTAACAACATAAGAGAGGTCACGACTTCGTCTCCGCTGGCAAACTCTGATCACTCCATTGTTCGTTTCAAAGTACTGGGAGACTTCGAGAGTTACTCCACTGTCCCTCTTCCCGACTTCTTGAATGTTGATTAATTTTAATTTTTGATTTTTGAGGTCTTGACGGTTACTTGTCTACCGTTGACTGGCTCACGTTGTTTGACCAATACGTCTCAATGGACGATGTGTACCAAAGGTTTTGCAGACTTCTATATCATGCGTTGTCACTATTTGTTCCCATGAAAGTCCGAGAGATTCGCCCTCCGCATATTACAAATTTGTTGACTCAGAAAGAGCGTCTATTCTGCGACCTAGAATTCCCGTTGAGCAGTTCGCTATACAAAAAAGTGTGTTCCGATGTTGACCGCCATTTAAAGAAATTTATCGCAAGTTTAGAGCGTCGCCTTGGACGTCAAACTTCACTGAAGCGCCTTTCACTCATACATTGGCAATAACTTGAAATCCAAGTGCGCAGCGAATTTGCAAAGGTCAAAGTAATGGAAAAGATGATTCGCGACAAGTTCCTATCCTGGTTCTCTAAACTTAAACTTATTCCCAGTGAGCAACACGGGTTCCTACCCGGAGCTTCAACTTGTACAAACCTTACTGATACTTTTTTCGACGTGTGCAGAGCTGTTAACCATGGTAAATCGGTGGATATCATTCATCTGGATTTGTCAAAGGCTTTTGATAAAGTCTGTCACTCCAAACTGCTCAGTAAACTGGAGAGGCACGGCGTTCATAGCAAACTACTTGCTTGGTTGAGGTCATACCTTCATGACAGAAACATGACAGTCAGGGTGGGAACTTCCGTGCACCAGTGGGGTACCACAGGGTAGCGTACTATCCCCTCTGCTGTTCCTGATTTACATCCTGGAGCTGCCTCAATTTCTCAGAACTATTCCTGACATCCAGGTGCGTATCTATGCTGATGACATCAAACTGTATGTGGTGTATGACAATGAGAATAGTCGAGAAATGCGGCAAGCGCTCAAACAATCTGTGGGGCTTTGGGATATTCCTCTAAACCTGAACAAGTGCTTAGTCATGCATATAGGGAAGGGCGCATCCCCTGATTACATAGTTAATGGTGTCATGCTCCCAAGATGTGATTCTGTAAAGATCTAGGAGTTTTTTTCCGAATCAAGCTTGAAAGTTCTCCAACCACATCGATCGTGTGGTGAAGAAAGCGTATTCCGTCTTCTTAACAATAATAAGGAATGTTCATAATTCAGATCCGTTCATACTTCTGCGCCTTTATGGAGCGTATGTTATGCGCAATAACGAGTGAGAGGATTCGCAGTGTGTGTCCTCTCGTTTAAGAAAGACCGATGGTTAACAATTGTCAGAGTTCAAGCATTCGTTTAGCGACGTCTTCTTTGGCATCGTTCCACATCCTGTATAGCTCGTAGTGATATCCCTACTTATAGCAGCCACCTGAAAGCTGTTTCCCTGCATTCTTTGCAATATCGAAGGATCGTGGCTGATTTACTGTTCTGTTCCGAGTTCTTCGAAAAGAGGTAAAAGTATCAGGGAGTAAGTATTGGATTTTCAGGCCAACAAGTGAGAAGCTGGGTGGGTTCAACCTTCCACTATGCCCCGATTCTTTCAAAAACTTTTCGTTTACTTTGCAATGATGTCTTCACTCAACGCGATGTAAAGTGGTATTCAGCTTTTGACCGGCCATAGGTACACTCCAGTCGCCTGCAGTAAGACATATCATAGTAGGCCTAAGAGAGTAAGTGGTGCCTCTCCGCACTTCTTCTGAAAGCAACCAGAGTACTATGAGCGTCCCAACTCTTTTAAATTTCAGTTCAATCTGTATCTCTCGTAGGCACTGCAACAATCATCACTGTACATCTCATCACCAAATATCTGGTGTCAGGCAGTGGACTCTCGGGCGCATTTTTCCACTATCTGATATTATCACATCTTCTGTTTTCTGAGAGAGGTTGAATATATGTATTCTTGGTCTGATCTTCCTGTTGTTCATCTTCTCTTAATTGACAGCCTCTGTGAAATAATTTCGAATATGTGAAGTAGTAAAGTAAGTAAATATGTGAAGTATAGCTTAGGGATGTTGTTGATAATTTAAACATAAGTATCCGTGGGCGATCTTGCTTGAGTTGTGCTGGTTAGTTGTTCGATGAGCTTAAAGGGTGATGAACCCTCTCGCTTGAGGTCCCCCTTGTTCGTTCGCCTGGGGTCCCGGACGAATTCGTTCGTAACGGGTTAAGTTGTCAGCAAGCCCCAGTAGAGTGCCGTCTTGTATTTTGCGTTCAGAACCAAGGACCAGGATCTCGTGAGGGGACTTTTTCATCTGCTGGATGGGGAAAACAACGTTATCCACCTGGCACAATGAAAGTTTCATATCTCATTCCCGCTTCTTACTACATCACGGCTACCCGAATTT